GATCGAACCATCCTGCTAACACGGGAACCCGTCTCTATAAAAAATACAAAAAAACTAGCCGGTCGAGGTGGCGGGGCTGAGTCCCCAGCTACTCGGGAGGCCTGAGGCAGGAGAATGGCCGTGAACCGGTAGGCGAGCTTGCAGTGAGCTGAGATCCAGCTCACTGCACTCCAGCCTGGGCGACAGAGCAGACTCCGCTCAAAAAAAAAAAAAAAAAAAAGAGAAACTGTGGATGTTAGGGTTTATCACTGAGATAGCGACGCAGGAAAGAAACAAATGGGGAGAGCGAGAGGTCTGTCTAGAATATGTTGAGCTTTGAGGGCTTACAGGCAAGGTGTGGACAGACTTGGCCAATAGGCGGCCCTCGAGAGGTCTGTCTAGAATATGTTGAGCTTTTGAGGGGCTTACAGGAAGAGTGTGGACAGACTTGGCCAATAGGCGGCCCCTCCGGATGTGAACATCCAGGCAGAGCTCAGAAGGGCAGAATTAGAGACGTCAGTAGCTCGTGGGGATGGGGGTGTGGTTAAAACCAAGGTGGGAGCAGGCGCCCCAGGCCCAGGAGAGGTGCTCATGCGCAGGATGGACAAAGGGGTCTCCAGCAAGAGCCCGAGGAAGTCGGGGCATACCCCATTCTTGCGGAGAAGAGATTTAGTACAGAGCCCTGTGAAACCCCCTAAGTTTAGGATACAGGTCAAACTTAGGAGGTCCCGAAGAGAGCAGAGAAGGTGGGAGAAAAGCCAGGAGGAAGTGAGGGGAGAGGTTGCGGGGACCGTGGAGACGAAAGGAGGAACTCCCTTCGAGCTCCTGCAGACCGCCGCGGGGAGACAGGACGCAGGAGCCCGGGACTCCCCCTCCCGGCGGGAGGAAGCGTTGCTCCTCCGCGTAGTCCTCCCCCTCTCTTCCCTCGCCGCTCCCGCCCCGTCCCCGCCCCCACTGGCTGTGTCCCGGAAGTGGTCCTATGCTGGGTCCGGATGCCGGGAGCGGAATCTCGGCACTCCCGGAAGTGGCCTGGAGGCGGCGCGCCAGGCCCGAGCGGTGCTCCCTCCTGCTCGGGCCGCTGCGGCCCCGGGCGTCGCCATGACCAGCGAGCTGGACATCTTCGTGGGGAACACTACCCTTATCGACGAGGACGTGTATCGCCTCTGGCTCGATGGTTACTCGGGTCCGTCAGGGGCGTGTGGGGAAGCCCGTCAGCGGAGCGGTTGTTTTGAATGGGAGAGGGGGCGGGGCTAGGACTTGGTCATCCTTTAGGGAAGTGGGCGAGCGCCTGGGAATAAAGGGTGTTATAGGGATCGGGGATGGAATCCCTTAAGGGCTTCTGGCGTCGGCGGGGCGGGACCTGATGCTAGCGCCCACTTTCCAGTGACCGACGCGGTGGCCCTGCGGGTGCGCTCGGGAATCCTGGAGCAGACGGGCGCCACGGCAGCGGTGCTGCAGAGCGACACCATGGACCATTACCGCACCTTCCACATGCTCGAGCGGCTGCTGCACGCACCACCCAAGCTACTGCACCAGCTCATCTTCCAGATTCCGCCCTCCCGGCAGGCACTACTCATCGAGAGGTGCTCACCCTGTGGGATGGTGGAGACATCAACCAGTCTGACTGTATACCCATTTTCCCAGCTGAAACAGGCCCAGGGAGGGATGGGACTTACCCAGCCATCAGAAAGTTGAGAGCAGAAGGGGTCAGACCCAGGCCCTGCCAGACCCCGCCAGGCCCCCTTTCCTCTCTTTTATGGGGGGGTCAATGGTGTTGTCTGACTCCACAAGGTACTATGCCTTTGATGAGGCCTTTGTTCGGGAGGTGCTGGGCAAGAAGCTGTCCAAAGGCACCAAGAAAGACCTGGATGACATCAGCACCAAAACAGGCATCACCCTCAAGAGCTGCCGGAGACAGGTGGGCACTGCACCCACACAGACACAGCATCCCATTTGCACTTCACTCCCTCCCTTTGACCACTGCCCCAGCTCCAGCCTCTGACTGTGGCAGCAGCTTCATACCTAGTCTTCTCCTCCCTTCCCCTTTCCCCCCCTTTTTTTTTTTTTTCCTTTTTGAGACAGAGTCTTGCTCTGTGCCCCAGGCTGGAGTGCAGTGGGGTGATCTCGGCTCACTGCAACCTCCGCCTACTGGGTTCAGGCGATTCTTGTGCCTCAGCCTCTGCAGTAGCTGAGATTACAGGCGTCTACCACCACACCCGGCTAATTTTTGTATTGTTAGTAAAGACGGGGTTTCACCATGTTGGCCAGGCTTGTCTTGAACTCCTGGCCTCAAGTGATCATCTGCCTTGGCCTCGTAAAATGCTGGGATTACAGGCGTGAGCCACTGTGCCTGGCTCCCTGTTGCTCCTTCCAAGCTATCCTGTACTGTATGGCCAGAGTGACCTTTCGGAAGCCCAGATCTGACTTTGGGCTCCCACTGCGTCCTGGGTAGCAGCTGCACTTCTTGGCTTTGACCTATAGACTGTCCTGTGATCTTGTCCCTGCAGACCTCTCTAGGCTTACATTTCTCCAGCCCCCAGGCTTTCCTTTACTCATGTTGCTCTACCTGGAGGGTACTGTTCTTGGCAATATCTACATCTTGAAATCCAAGACAGGAGATGAGATGCCACCTTCTCCACAAGCCTTTTTGGTACGCCAGGAAGAAGTAACCCTTCTGGGCCTTTGATGCCTTTCTTTTGTATCTCCTGTGAGCTTTCTGTTTATAGCTTAGCATTTGTTTTTTATTTTTTAGTTCCTGGGGCTTAGCCAGGAAAGTCTGTTCCAACTCAAACTTGTGAAGATCTGGAGAGCATGGTGCTAAAATGGGGTTGGATTTAGAGATAAGATTGAGTAAACATTTATCCAAGGCAAGATACGGCAGGAGCTGCTAAGCATTTGAGTTGATAACAAGTACTAATAACCAATAGTTGGTTGAAGGAATAACAGATGCTAAATCAGCACTTGCCGACTGGATAGGTGGATGGGGAAGGGAGGGATGTTCAGTAAGTGGTTTATTGGGTGAGCGACATGGTGGACACTCTGACCAGTCCTCTCTTCTATCTACCCTAACTGCCCTGCAGTTTGACAACTTTAAGCGAGTCTTCAAGGTGGTAGAGGAAATGCGGGGCTCCCTGGTGGACAATATTCAGCAACACTTTCTCCTCTCTGACCGGTTGGCCAGGTGAGGAGCTAGCCACCTCCCCATCCTGCACACTACTTCCCTGGGCCCTGAGGCTTGTCCACCTTCCCTACCCCAACCCTTCTGACCTCCTTAGTATGCTGGGGGAGTGATTATCCCACTTTTGGTCTGTACTTTTTTTTTTTTTTTTTTTTTTGAGACGGAGTTTCACTCTTGTTGCCCAGGCTGGAATGCAATGGTGCAATCTCGGCTCACTGCAATCTCTGCCTCCCGGTTCAAGCAATTCTCCTGCCTCAGCCTCCCGAGTAGCTGGGATTACAGGCTTGAGCCACCGCACCCAACTTGGTCTGTACTTTGGACCAGACTGACCTGGATGCAAAGCACAGTCCAGCGATATCCAGTTGGGCTGTTGAGAGATGCCATATGTAAAGCCATGGCACAGCCCTGGCACTTAGGAAGTGCTCAGTAAATAGTAACTGTTACCCTTATGGTCTCCCACTGTATGCACTAGGAAACTTGGGCTGGAACCTTCTCTTCGCACAGATGGGGAAAGGGCGTAGAGAAGTGACTTGAGACATGTCACACAGCAACTTGAGGCGGAGAGAGGCCAGAACTCGGACACCCAGCTGAGGTTGCAGCTGCTTCCTAAGAAGGAATTTCTTTTTTTTTTTTTTTTTTTTTTTTTTTGAGAAGGAGTCTGGCTCTGTCGCCCGGGCTGGAGTGCAGTGGCCGGATCTCAGCTCACTGCAAGCTCTGCCTTCCGGGTTTACGCCATTCTCCTGCCTCAGCCTCCCGAGTAGCTGGGAACACAGACGCCCGCCACCTCGCCCGGCTAGTTTTTTGTATTTTTTAGTAGAGACGGGGTTTCACCGTGTTAGCCAGGATGGTCTCGATCTCCTGACCTCGTGATCCGCCCGTCTCGGCCTCCCAAAGTGCTGGGATTACAGGCTTGAGCCACCGCGCCCGGCCTAAGAAGGAATTTCAAGCCCTAGGATCCTCCTCTCTTCTGTGCAGGGACTATGCAGCCATCGTCTTCTTTGCTAACAACCGCTTTGAGACAGGGAAGAAAAAACTGCAGTATCTGAGCTTCGGTGACTTTGCCTTCTGCGCTGAGCTCATGATCCAAAACTGGACCCTTGGAGCCGTCGGTGAGGCCCCCATTGACCTAGGTGCCTGGATGTCTCCCCATTCTCAGGACCTGATTCCCCACCAGTAGTTTCTCCCACAGGCCCCCAGTTCCCAGCATTCGCTCCTGTTCGCGGCCCACACCCAGGCTACCCTGCCCATAGAATGTTTTCCCACGCACAGCTTGTCTGCAGACAGAGGGCCTATTGCCTCTCTGTGGCCCGGGGCATGTCACTGCATCTCTCTGACACTCCATTTCCTCTTCTGTCCCTAGGGGGGAAATGAAGTATTGGGTGAGGAAAGGCTTAGGCTATCCCAGAAGGGGATTTTATCACCCACCGCAACCCCCTTCATGGCCTCATAGACTCGCAGATGGATGACATGGACATGGACTTAGACAAGGAATTTCTCCAGGACTTGAAGGAACTCAAGGTGCTAGTGGCTGACAAGGACCTTCTGGACCTGCACAAGAGGTGACCTTGTAGAGGGCCATGGGGCAGGGCCTGCAGTAGGGGCCCAGGTGGCTATAGGTGTGACCCTGTCTCTGCAGCCTGGTGTGCACTGCTCTCCGGGGAAAGCTGGGTGTCTTCTCTGAGATGGAAGCCAACTTCAAGGTCTGTGGTCCCATCCAGCCTCTGGCCTTTGGCATCGTCAGCCTCCAGTTCGCCACCTCTACTGGGCAGCTCTGCCCCTCCCAGAGACTGGCCGGCAGGTGGCGCGGCTGCTCCCTCTGGTGGCTGCTGACGGTGGCCGCTGACGGGAGCAGCTCATAAACAATGGGGACTTGGTTGATGGAGGGAGGTGGATGGATCTGGGGAGGGACCTACTCCTCCCCCAGCTTCTGTGCTCAGCTCCCAACTTCTGGGGCAGAAAGCAGAACTCCAAAGATCCCTGCCCCACAGAACCTGTCCCGGGGGCTGGTGAACGTGGCCGCCAAGCTGACTCACAATAAAGATGTCAGAGACCTGTTTGTGGACCTCGTGGAGAAGGTGAGCTGTCGCGCCCTCTGACACCCAACCTGGCCTGTTCCCGGCCTAGACGAGTGCTAAGTATTCTCTTGGGCCCACAGTTTGTGGAACCCTGCCGCTCCGACCACTGGCCACTCAGCGACGTGCGGTTCTTCCTGAATCAGTATTCAGCGTCTGTCCACTCCCTCGATGGCTTCCGGTGAGCAGTCCTGTCCTCCTGTCTAGCTTGGCCTTGCCCCAGCCTGCCACCTGCCAGGACCTCACCTCCCGCAGACTCAAGGTTCCTCATTCTACTACCCTGGGGGTAGGACCAAAGCTCTGGCTCCCCCTCTTTGAAGCTGTGTGATTTGGGGCAGGTTTCTTAACCTCTCCATGCCTCAGTTTCCTCATATACAAACTGGGGTTCATCATGAGAAGAACTGTAAGAATTTTCTAAGGGCAAAATGAATGAAGGTGTAGAAAGCACTCAGGGCAGGGCCTCCACCATGGTGAGTGTTGTGAAAACTCAGCTGTCACTGTTCATGTTCTTACAGACACCAGGCCCTCTGGGACCGCTACATGGGCACCCTCCGCGGCTGCCTCCTGCGCCTCTATCATGACTGAGGCCCCTCCCAATGTCCCGCCCACACTGACAATAAAGTTGCCCTGAGTTTGGAGACTGGTCCTCGCTCCGGGGAGCAGGTGGGGGACGTGCAGATGTGCCTGTGTCTGTCTCTGAGCACCTGGTATCCGTGTAGAAGGATGGACATTTACAGTGGCCTCTTGGGAACTGGGACATATCTCAGGGAATGGTGACTGTGCTCCGCCCATCCACCAGAAGAGTCCACTCACAAGCCAGAGGTCTTGTCTTGGTTTATTCAGGCTGTATTGAGATTGGGAAGATGAGCAAAAACCTGGGGGTAGGGCTGGCGAGGAGGCAGCTGGCCTAACAGGACAGAGCTGAGGGGGCCAGGTGGGTTCAGGGAGGGCAGGAGACTCGGGGCTTCACATCCGGTTTCTGCACACGGGCAGTGAGCGGGAACCTGGTGATGCCACAGGTATTGCTCCCTCGGTGCAGCCGGAAGTAGCCCTAGGAGGTTAGGGGACACAGGGGTGGGAAGGTGGGAAGAGGCCTGTTCTGCCTTGCCCCTCCCCCAATAGATCACACTCACCTTCTCTCCCCACTGGGCCCCCCAGGAGTTCTTCAGGATCCAGTATGGGGTGGGGTGTGGAGGCTGAGGCTGAGACTGCGATGAGACTGTCTCTGCCCATATCCCCTCTGACTTGAGGCTGCCAAAACCCACCAGCAGGACAGAGTGGTCCACAAGCTGGGGGTCACAGGTGGTGGGTGTGGCCTTGATCACACCTTTCCGGTATAGCTGCAGGGGGTGGGGGCCGAGGGGCTGAGTGTAGGGCCAAGTCCCCTGTATTCCCCTCCCCCGCCAGCTCTCCCATCCCACCTGCAGGGGCTTCATGTTGATGGCCACGGTGATGGGGCCGTAAGTGGCCAGGTACTGGGCAATTCCTGGGGACGGAAGCATCATCAGACCCTTGGCATGTGGGCGTGTCGGTTTCTCTCTCGCTCCTTCGCTCCTCCCACCCCCTCTTGTCTTCTAGCCCAGTCACCCAGTGTGTCTGCCTCTGCCCCAGTGTCTGTCCCTGCCGTCCGCCCATGTCCCTGCCCTGCCCGCACTGTGCTCGCTGTTCTGCAGCATGATGAAGTCCTGGATCCAGGCCACCTTGTGGTACTTCTTGGCGTGGCACCCTTGGGCTCTGACTTTGCCCTGGAACGGGTAGTCCTTTTCACTGGCCAGGCCGCCTGCAGATAAGCAAGACAAGGGAGGAGGCTCCGCTCCTGCCCACCCTGTCCCCCTGCAGATGCACAGGGTGGCGGGGCAGTGCACTCACTGTTGTTGAGAACAGTTATGAACGCGTCCCAGACGAAGCCACCATGGCAGCCATCCCCACAGCGACCACAGTCCAGCAGTTCTGGTGCAAGAAGGGACAGTGTGGGTGACCAGGCCCCTAGGCCTCCCTCCCCTGTCACACCTGCACCCTCTGTCAGCCCTACCCTGCACGGAGACATCCACGAAATCCCAGAAATTGATGCGCCACAGGGCCTCTATGTTGTCTGCCGCTGCCATGGCCCAGCAGCAGTTGCAGTTTTTCTGGAGGGCGAGAGGGTGAGGCGGGGCTAGGTGTTCGGGCCAGGCCCCTCTCCTTCCCACCACTTAGCTGAATTAGAGCGAGCTGGGTAGGGGCAGATACCTGGTCCTTGATGGGTGAGATGGCACCGGCCACCTTCCGCCAGTCACAGGTGAAAGGCACTGACTCCTCTGGCTCTTCGGACCCTATCTCTCTGCCCATGCCGGGGACCCTTCCAGCTGCCCTCCGATACCCGTAGAGCTGGCCAAACTCCTCCTCTGGGGAACAGACAGGGCCACTGAGGTCTCTGTTTTGACCCCTTCTCCCTGTTCTGCCTCTCCCACTCCAGCCGTTGGTCCCATAATGCCCTGAGGGGCAAAAAGGCAAAGATAGGTCGGGTGTGATGGCTCACACCTATAATCCCAGCACTTTGGGAGGCCAAGGCAGATGGATCACTTGAGGTCAGGAGTCCAAGACCCCATCTCCACAAAAAGTAGAAAAATTAGCTGGGTGTGGTTGTGCGGGCTTATAGTCCCAGCTACTTAGAAGGCTGAGAGGTTGGGGGAATTGCTTGAGTCTAGGAGGTAGAGGCTGAGTGAGCTGTGATTGCACCATTGTGCTGCAGCCTGGACAACAGAGCAAGACCCTGTCTCAAAAAGGCAGGGATGCTGAGCCTAGAGAGGCTGGACTCCCTGCTGGGTGCTTCCGTGTAGCTGCTGTGCTGGCCCCTAGGCTGGGCTAGGACACAGGGCTACAGAGATTCTGCCCCTGCACTGGGTGATTTGATACCAGCACCCAAACCCCTGGTCCTCAGGGAAATGAATTTCCTTCCCTGGGAAGTGAAAATTGAAGGTCCACTGGGTCCAGCTGCCAGTGTCCCTGGGGAGACCACTTCCCCAACCACCACCTACAGGCCAGAAGGGTTAATGGTACCTGTGAGGTCACTGAATGGAGTCACCCCAAACTCAGCTGTGCCCAAGTCCTCCTCCTGCAGCCGCTGAGCCTGGGCCAGGTTGTGGGCAAAGATGTCCAGGCGGCGAGCATGCTCTGGACCAAGAGGGAGTTGTCCTAGGCTGACTCCCAAACCCTCAGGGGCAGAAAGTAGCCACTGGCTGGGCACCCTTCCACCCACACCCACCCAGTTGAGCACTGGCTCCTTTCGTGTAGCTCCTACAAGGCCCCACTGCAGATACCCAGGCCCAGGAAGTGGTTACCCAGCCCACCTAGGGTTGGGTTTTCCCCAGAGGCAGCGAGAGGACCATCTCTGGCCACCCTGGGTAGGAAGCCAGGTAAGGGGTCTGGTGGCGGTGACTCAAGGAAAGGATGTGTGGCCAGAGACCAGCTTCCTGCCAGGCCACCTCCTTTACACCTCTGACCACAGGAGGAGAGCTGGAACATGACGGGGAGAGGAGACGACGGCACGGGCAGCCTGGGCTAAAAGGCACACGCAGACCAGCCCCCTAGAAAGATCAGTACAGCGAGAGGGCAGGGGCAGGGGTTAGATCATGGGCTAGAGAAGAAGTCCCCAATGTGGGGACAAAATGGGTGTCCTTGGGTGTTTGCTGAATGAACGAATGACTAGGTGGTGGCCCCCTGCCCACTGCCTGGAATCACAGGGAAGTGACTGCGGAGCCAGGGGATCACGTAGGACTAGGGCAGGACCTCACCCGCTGCCACTGCCCTCCAGATCCATAGCAAAGAATGATCCTGGACCCACTCATGCTTTCAGGAAACCAGGGAGCACATGCCCAGCCCTGCCCTGTCCTGCTGAGTGACCTTGGCCATGCCTGTTCCCCACCCTGAGCTTCAAGTTTTTCATCTATTATAAAGTGGGATGGCTGGGCTCGGTGGCTCACACCTGTAATCCCAGTCCTTTGGGAGGCTGAGGCAGGTGGATCACCTGAGGTCAGGAGTTCAAGACCAGCCTGGCCAACATGGTAAAACCCTGTCTCTACTAAAAATATAAAAGTCAAGTGTGGTGGTACATGCCTGTAATCCCAGCTACTTAGAGGCTGAAGCAGGAGAATCGCTTGAACCTGGGAGGAGGTTGCAGTGAGCCAAGATGAGGCCATTGCACTCCAGCCTGGTCAACAAGAGTGAAACTCCGTCTCAAAAAAAAAGTGGGGGCTTGGAGTGGAGATGTATGTGCCCTGTGATACCTTCTGGGCTCAAGTAACTCCGGTTGAACTGGATCTGGAACAGCTTGAAGGCCTCTTTCAGCTCCAGCGGCTGGGGACCGAGGTCCTGGCAAGGAACCAAGGGTAGAGAGGGGCAGTGGGCAGAGGAATCATTGCTGGGGCCCCACCTTAGCTCCTAGCCGTGCAAGGACTGGGCTAGGGGTCAGCCAGTTAGCCTTCTCTGTTTTCCCATGTGCCCTTGGGCACGTCAGCCCCCTCTCCAACCTCAGTGACTCCCTCTGAAAAATGAGAATGACAGGCCAGCTGTTTCTGAAGGGGTGACCCCAGGTGTGGGACTGGCAGTTGTAAGGTTTTGGGAGCACTTACCTGGGCCCTAAGGGAGCCTCTGATGCCTTGGGCTAGGCCTGCCACCAACAGGGCCAGGAGGCAGGAGGGGTGGGTAGTCAGTGCCATGCTGGTGCAGTCTGGAGAGGCATGGAGGCAGGAAGCCGTGCAGATCGAGGAGGAGGGTGTGAGGGCGGGGCTGGAGAAACCACGAAGGGGAAGACAGGTTTGGTGGGTGAGGGGTGGACCCCTAGAACCCACAACTTGCTCAGGCCTTCAGGCTTTCAGTCCTCTGCCTGTCTGCTCCCCAACCCACCCCTTTTTTCTTTCTTTTTTTTTTTTTTTTTCGCTACCCAAGGTTGGAGTGCCGGTGGGCACAATCTGGGCTCACTGCAACCTCACACACTCCGATGTTCAAGCATTCTCCTGCCCTCACCTTCCAGTAGCCTGGACCTGGACAGGCGTGCACCACCTATGCCCGCAGCAATTTTTTTGTAATTTTCAGGTAGATGATACCAGGGTTTCACCATGTTGGTCAGGCTGGGTCTTGAAACTCACTGACCTCAGTGAATTCCACCCCGCTCAGCCTCCCAAAAGTGCTCGGGATTATCATGCGTGAGCCACTGCCACCCTGGCCCAAGTAAGCCTCTTCTTTTTTTTTTTTTTTTTTTTTTTTGAGACGGAGTCCATGCTCTGTCGCCCAGGCTGAGTGCAGTGGCCGCGGATCTCAGGCTTCACCGCCCAGCTCCGCCTCCGGGCGGTACACCGCGCATTCTCCTGCCTCAGCCTCCCAAGTGCTGGGACTTCCAGGCGCCCCATCCGCTTCGCGTCCGGCTAGTTTTTTGTATTTTTAGTAGAGAATGGGGGGTTTCACCGTGTTTAGCCAGGATGTCACATCGCTCCATGACCTCGTGATCCACCCACATCTCGGCTCCAAAGTCGCTGCGGAATTACAGGCCTTGGCCACCGGCGCCCGGCCGGCCCACGGCAACCACTCTTGCCTCCTACTATGAAGCTCAGTCCACCTCACAAAAATGTCTGCTTCTTTCAAGAAGCCTTCCCTGCTTCCA